TTCCCAAGCGGCGCACTATCCAGTGCGCCACCGGGCCAGCCCCCTGATTTTTTTTTTTTTTTTTTAACCTAAGTCTCTAGAACTGCATTGTGGAATAATGTAACCACTAGACATGTGGCTATTTAAACTTAATTAAAATTAAATAAAATTAAAAAGCCCAGTTCCTCAGTCATACTAGCAACATTTCAAGTGTTCAGTAACCACATGTAACAGAGTATGGAACAGTTTCATCATCACAGAAAGTTCTGTTGCACAGTGCTGCTAGAACTTGATGGAAGAAAGGCATCAGCCAGAGCAGCAGCACATCTTTGTGGGAGCATTTCTTTTGCCCTTACATTCTCTATGGAGTTATAGCTTCTATAATACTGACTACACAAGAAGGATCCTGTCAGAGGCAAGAAAGAATCCTAATTCTTGTCTTAACCAATGTCTTTTTATTCTGGAAGAATTCACATTAACAGTCTCTGTGTGTCTGTTTAAAAGAATGTTTAGAAACATTGTACTGTCCTGGATCCTGAACCGGATTTAGTATTAGCAAGCCCACATTTTCAGGAGGGGTTGAGAAAGCAGAGTCATTGCCTGGATGATCCTGAATAACATCTGTTTTTAAAACATTAAGACATAAAAAAGAACCGGAAATGGATCAATTTATGGTTCTTGAGAGATGGGCAAGAGTGGAAAGAGCTAGACCTTGGCCAGTAACATAAATACGGGCTTGGGCAGGGATAAGAGGGTAGGGGAAAAAAAAAAAAAGAAAGCAGTTGAGTGTGAAGAAATATCATATGTGAAGGTGAAAGGTGTCCAAAGACAATATTATAACAAATTTAATTATAGATCTAATTGGCTTTTATTTGCAATTCATGAATCGGGGCAGCCTCCATTGAACAAAATAGAATGAGAGCTCCCAGTGGGCAATGGCAGAACAGTGGGTTCTGTAAGGTGGGGACAGGGAAACAGAACAATAGAAAAAAAGCTGATTGGTTGACATCAGGTTACTTTTTTTGTAAGGGTTAAACCAGAGGGGACTTCCTTACTGTGCAGATTCATGCAGAGGGGTCTTCCATATCACACTGATTCTGGTAAATTGGAATCTCGTATTTCAAGGAAAAACTGGTCTGTTTTGGTGTCTGTCTGCTACCTTAGAGTTTCAGTTGATTACATGGTATTTAGCACGAGAGACTTCATTTTGTTTTGTTCTGGTCTCCAGGGGCCTAGTTCAAGAGCTCCATCCAAAATAATGGCCTCCCGTAATTTTTCTTTAACAGAAGGGAGGGAAAAAAATTTCACTAAACATATTCATTTGGATTACGCATTCTATACTTTAGCCAAACTACTTGCTGTTGCTCAAACATGTCCTGCAATTTTCTGCCTCCATACTTTATGTATGCTTTTTCCTCAGCTGCAATCTGATCCCCCACTTCTGCCTGTTAAAATTCATTCCACCAGGCTCTCTTCAAATGCTTTGGCCTTTATGAAGCCTTTCTTTTTTTTTAAAAAAAAACCTCTTTATTATGGAAAATTTCAAACATACAAAATGGAGAGAGTAGTATAATTTTCTTGGTCCATCATCCGGCTTCAACAATTATTAACATTTTGCCATCTTGTTTTTTTAAAATCTACCTCCTCCTCTCTTTTACCCTTCCCCAACATTTTCAAACATACAGAAAAACTATACAATGAATACCTTTTATAGTAGTCCGAGTTCAGTCAGGAGATAGAACTATACCAGTTATTTGAAAATTTAATTTGATGAATAAACTAGAACAGGGGGGTGGCTAACTACAAAAAGGAGTAAAAGAGGACTCTAAGGGGCCCAGAAGTAGCAGGTACGAAAGAGCAGATACTACTTATGGCATGAGGAAGAAAGACTAGGTGAGGGCTCTCTTCCCAAGGCTTGGATTCAGACCTCTTCAAAAAGGGTACATACCCTGTCTACCATGGTTACATGGTCTATAGTAGTACCCACTGTGAGCTGGTAGACTGGGCCCTGAGACCACAGCTGGAGCTTGTCTCCTCAGCAAGACTGTTGGGCTCCCATCCTGAATAATAATGATAGTAACGGAGGACCAGAATCCAGAAGGAAAGCGTCTCCCTACTGCTTTCACCTTGCAGCATCAGTCCATTGCCTTGTCTTGATAAAATTTAACATTCCACCAGATGACAAAAGAGAAATGTTTGTAGGGTCTAGTTCCAATGTCACAAAGCAGGGCAAAGAAAGATTTGGAACTGAGAGATGATAAATTGATAACTGGCATACCCATATGCTCACCAGCTCGTTTCTGCAATTTTTAAGCATTTTGTTATATTTGTCATGTATCTAGTCATCTGTCCATCTACAGGAAGTCTTTTTGGTTCTTCAGCCTGATGATGATCACTTTCTCTTAAATTTTGGATTTAAAAGTGATTATTTGCAAAACTAATCTATGGTGGGAAAAAATCACTAACAGTTTTTTTCCTCTGGGGGTGAGAGTTGGGATGGGGATTAACTGGGAATGGGCCTGAGGGGATTATTTGAAGTGATGGTAATGTTCTATATCTTGATAAGGGTTTCTTTCAGAGATCTACGCCTTTGACAAACTTTACAAATGGTACACTTAAGATTTCTGCATTTTG